ATGAAAGTGGGTCTCATCCTTTTGTGGCTCATTTTATTCAATAAATCAAACAGTAGCTAATTATACACCCAACAGCATAATAAGCTAATGATGATTTCCAAGTCGGACCGTTCACTTAGAGTAATTATAAAGAAGTCTGTCGCTAATGACACATTTTTCATTAGAGACATCCATTCATCTCCACAGTTAATGACTTTCTGGTTCTCTGTTCTTCAGTCGCAGTCCTCATTTGAACTGCGACCTCACTGTTACCTTGTCGTTGATGAGCAGCTCCACGGGGTTGTGGACGCCCTGCAGCAGCACCAGCTCATTAGGCTGCCCCGGCACGGAGTAGGAGAAAGGCGTCCCGATGCCCCCTTCTTTGGCCTTCAGCCACACGCAGGCGGTGAAGGCGTACATCTCCGTTATCTCCTTCCTCACCAGGCCGTACATGTAGTTGGTCCTCATGGGGAAGGACAGGACGAAGCCGTCCGGGAAAGACGGTTCTGTCAGAGCTGCGAGGACACGGGAGACACGGAGAAGTGGTCAGAGGACGAAGAAGAAGAAGACGAAGAAGAAGACACACACACACACACACACCCCCACAGGGCGGCTGACAGAAGCTGAAGTGTTACAGCTAATGATCAGGTTTTCTAACTCCAGGCGACAGAGTGAATCTGAGACATGGAGAGGACGGAAGGTTTGGGAGACAGACGGAGTTAAAAAGGAAAACAGGAAGTGCATTTCATTTTCCTGTTAGTCCTGTGGTGAACGCACTTCCTCTTCTATGTTTCCATCTGCCCTGGTTTCTTCTTTGTTCTAACTGTGTTTTTTACTTCCATTTTTTAAACGGTGGATATAAAAACCGCCGCTCCGTCACCGCTCTAAAAACCACAGCGTAAATATTAAAAACACAGATTAACGAAGATTTACAGTTACGCAAGTAAAGGTCAGCAAATAACTATGGCTTCCTCTTCCATTTATTTTTGGCACTTTCAATTTTATAGTTAATTTCATAGCTGCGTTCGACATTTCTCAACCTTCAGAACTCATTAATCATCTCGCGGCCCTTTCTCCCACCGCGGCGCCGAGACATCGCTAGGTTCCTCCAAACGCCGCTCCATCCTTATCACCCTACAGTCGTAACAGTTTTTTTCATTTCCTTCCTAGATATTTATTATTATTATCATTAGTATTTATATTTAAAAAAAAATAATTTTACAAAAAATATCCTGAACATGAAGTGTGTTTTTTCAAATTTTCAAAATTCATCAAACGGGCCACACCCTAAAGGGCCGGTTTCGGCCTGCTGCCCCTATGTTTGACACCACTGTTTTAAACACTCATCCATGTCACCACCATGCAGTCCTAGTTATTTGTTTTGTGCAGCAAGAAGGAAAAAAAATCTGTTTATAAATTTTAAGTTTTCAGTGCAAATAAAAATAAATCCTTTTTCTTTTCATGTCATGATCTCAGTCGGTGACGGTTTGGTGCTTCTATAATTGTATCATAAAATTGAACATGACTCAGTTCTCGTCATGACTCCCCCCTCCCCTCACCCCCCCCCGGACTCACTCTGTTCCAGCTCGGTGACGCGGTGGTTGGCCGTGTCAATCCCCTGGTTGATCTTCTCCTGCTGACCGTGCGTCTCCTTCCTCATGGCCTGACGCTCCTTCTCCAACATCTTTATCTTCCTCTCCAGCTCCCCCTCCAGGTCCTCCACCCTCCAGGTGCCCTTCCCTCGACCTGGTGACCCCTTCGACGGGTGCTTGGGGTTGGACGACGGAGGGGAAACAGGACGATGCCCCCCTGAGGCAGGACCGGGAGGTGAAGGGGAGGTTCTGCCAGAGGGTGAGGAGGGAGGCTTGACGGTGTTTCCCACAGGACTGATGCTGCTGCTGCTGCTGCTGCTGCTGCTGCCTGCTGACGTGTCGGTGAGGTTTAAGGCTGCAGGGCCTATTTCCGCCTGCAGGAAAACGAAGAGTGAAAACATGAGAAGCAGTTTGAAATATTGATGCTGGAAAAGGTTTGGAGACAAACACAGAGCAGAGGACGGAGGACGGAGGACGGAGGAGAAAAAGACAAACGTCTCGGTGGGAAACACTGACAGTCACTGGAAGATCTGGGTTTTCTACCAAATCCAGTGCCGTCGGTCTGTGGACAGAACCGACGTCGGAGGAGGATCTGTTTTAGGGAGTTGGCATTTGGAGAACGTCGTAAGAATATTGTTCCGCTGAGATCGGTGGATATTAACAACACCAGTGACATTTTCCTCTTAATGAAATTGGAAGAAAAATAAACTGAACCTGTTTCAGTAACGACGGCAGAGAAACGAGAGAAAAGTCCAATTAAAGGTGTAGAACGGAGAATTTAAATACTGTTAGGACTACGAACCAGGAGCAGTGAAAAAAAAAAGAAAAACCGGATGTTTGAACTGAGGAGTTCAAATTATAAATAATAAAATAATGTCGTCCAATTAATTATTATTTATTAATTGGGTTCATGAATTATTAAGTAATTATTACATTATTAATTTTACATTAATAAACAGTTAAAATATACATAATTAAAAACGGTCAAAGGAAAATAATTAGCTATAAATAATTCTAAAGCTGTCGTCATGGTGATTTGACACAACATCCTGTATAGATTCTAGTCTATTCTGTTCTATTCTGTTCTTGCAGCAGTTATGACTGTGTTATTTTCTGTAACGTGTTCTTGACACCGTCAGATAAAACATCAAAATCTAAAATCTTTTTTTTTGTTTGTTTGTTTCAACTTCTCTGACTTTCCCACAGCGTCGGTTTTTCCTGTAAGGTGTTCTTGACACCGTCAGATAAAACATCAAAATCTAAAATCTTTTTTTTTGTTTGTTTGTTTCAACTTCTCTGACTTTCCCACAGCGTCGGTTTTTCCAGTCCGTCCTTCAGCGGCTGAGGTTTAAAGTGGAGCTGGTGTGTGTGGTAACGTTCCTGTGTGTGTGTGTGAGTGTGTGTGTGTGTGTTAGATCAATGATCTTAGAATCTGGTTCAGTCACGACCCACTCCTCGGCTTCACTGCGTTCACAACACCTTTCATTTTCACCACCGTCTTCGTCCGATTCATCCTCAGCCTCAGAGTCAGGACGACGCCGTGAGTTTGGATTTAAACCAAACCTGTACGTATTCACATGTACGAGACGGGGACTGACCTTCGTAATGTTTCTGAGAAAAATAGACCTCAAGATTTTATAGAAAAAAAAACTTCGCTTAGGGATGTCCGATAATATCGGACGACCGATATTAGCATAATTGTTTAATTTCTTTGAGAATCGTTATCAGCTTTTCCTCCGATAATGAAAACCCAGTAACGCAATGCCTGGGTTTGGACAAATAACATGTGCCCTAAAAATAGTTTGGGGGAAAAACGGCTGTATATGAAAGTGAAAGTCACTAGATGGCAGCGTTGCAGCTCATTTAATTCATCTATTTTGATATTTAGGGGATTGTACGCGGAATAATGGAGCCAGAAACTCAGACTGATAAACTAATAAATATTATCGATCTTATTGGTCGATCAAATGATACAGATACAGGTATCGGTTGATATCGGAATCGTAAATTAAGTCCCTAACATCCCTAATATATATATATACAGTAGAGAGCGAGAGAGTATATAGAGTAGAGAGAGAGAGAGTACGATAGTGATGGTATTAGAAAGAGGGTCAAGAAGAAGAAGAATTTACAGTAAAGAGAAACAAACCCTGTTTTGGTCGAAAAAATAAAATCAAATATTTATGGAAAACTATTCACACAAATATTTGAATACAAATATATATATATACAGTACATTTATGTATTTTTCTAAGGTGTCAAAAACTTAGAGAAAACCATTATCAAATCAAGACTAAACTGAAGTGTTTTTTTTTATTGTTCCAGTCTCTCTGTTGTTTTTATCTCCTTTGTTTCTCCAGAGGAAATGGAATTTACTCCTAAAACCTCACACACGTTTCCTGCAACTACGCTGTAAAAAAAAAAAGAAAATTATATTTTTTACAATTTGTTGTGTTTTCAAAGAGCTGCCGTGGTCGATCACTCCCGACGACGTTGGAGCTGAGCTGTTTTACAAACTTGTGTTTTCAGTGAGAAACAGCAGCGTCAGGCGGCTAAACCGTCCATACTGCAGATGTAAGCAAGTCCGCCATGGATTTATTAGGCGGGGCTTTTATCTGGTCCCCACGGCGGCAGGAAAAATGATGGTCCCTGCTGTTGCCGAGTCTCAGAGGGAGAGCAGTTTTGGTTTTTTTTCATCACATTCATCATCAATAATAAAAAAAAAAATCTAAAAATAAACAACAAAGATCAGGAATTTTCAACTCTGCTTTTCCTGAAGAGAACGGCCGTCTGAGGAAGAGGAGTCGAGGACTGATCGGCCGCACGCTCATGATGAGTGATGAAGCAGA